TAAACAGAAAAACAAAAAACAAAACAAAAAAATTCAATTAGAAAAATGAGAATATATCATTCAATCTTGATCAGACAACGATTGAAAAGGGACCATTATAAATCCTCTGTATAAATGGAAGATCCCTTGAAATTTCTTGTACATTCCCTTTACCTATCTAAATATTATGTTTTGTTCGTGTCCCGCCAATAGTACCCCGAGACAGAACTAAAACCAATGAGCTCCTCTCCTGTACGATCTGTTAAATCTGTGGGGAAAAACTTGTATGTGTCAAGGTGATAATTTCCAGAGTCAACTACAAAATTAAAATTAAATAGACATTAAATAGAGATTAAAACTTTATATAAATAGATATTCTGGACCATATATCAATGGCTTTAATTTACTAAATCACTCAAAGTGAAAAGCAAAAAAAATTGATGATATGAAAAGTATAAAATGGGATCATTTAACAATATTAATTTTTTCTATAGTATTCTTGTTACAGAGTAATACAGTTTAACACCTTTCCATCGGAAATCAACAATTTTCCATCGGAGATCAACAATTTTCCATCGGAGATCAACAAATTTCCATCGGAGATCAACAATTTTCCATCGGAGATCAAAAACTGGTCAAGGAGGACCAACAACTTTCCATTGAAGATCAACAATTTTCCATCGGATCGGAGATCAACAATTTTCCATCGGAGATCAACAACTTTCCATCGGAGATCAACAATTTTCCATCGGATACCAAAAGATCAACATCTTTTTATCGGAGATTTACAACTTTTCATTGGAAATAATTTTTTTTATTGGAGACAAACACTTTTTCATCCAAAAACAGATACCTACAAATTCTATCCGTAATCACCTCTTTATCTTTTTGAAGACCCTAAACTTGTATCATAGGACCTTAAACTTTTTACCAGAGGCTCCACTTTCAAAGGAACGCCCCTAATGGAGACCCAGGAAAAAACCTATAAAAACATAAACCATGTCATTTCATTCATCGAAGAACCAAGATGTTTTATTTGAGTTTAATTGGAGCTTTTACTCTCGCCTAAATCCATTTCACAAGATTTAATTGGAGAACCCCATACTATTTCAATCAAAGAGAATAGAATATATATTAGAGGGGAATTTAGAAATATATATTTGTATGGTAATAGAAATATATCAGGTCCACAGCTAGGTTATGAGCATAGAGAATAGAATATATAGAGAGGAATTAAAAGAATCCCTCGGTATGAATTTTGTCTGTCCCTTTCAGCCTGAAAGGGAGTTCAAAGTGTACAAATCATGAAAATGTTCATAAATTATATGCAGTAGAGTACATTAATACAGTATGTTCCCTAGACTATCCATTTCAATTTCGAATTTTTTAAAGCTCTTAAATAAACTTTATAAAATTAATTAGGTGAATAAAAAACATTATTTGATTTATAGTTATAACGGAAAATCATCGTTTGTAAAGTGAAAGGCATAGAGTCTATGTGAAATTATCATTGGTCAATTATGAAACCAGCCTATTTCATAATTTGGTTTTCTTTTAATATTGATTTTAGATTTTCTATAAAATGATGTTCCAGGGCCCAAAACGTTATATAGCACAAATATGTGAAGTACACCTGCAGTATGGAAACAGTACAACAAAATGGCCATTTTTAACTTTTTTCTAGTAAATTCCACTCTAATATATATTCCATTCTCTTTGATTTCAATACATATTGTACAAAATACACTTAATAGATTAAAATGGTATTATATAACACAATTAAGCCTATTTCATAAACGTAGGTACTAATAATTTTTTGCGCAACTTTTCGCAATGGTGTGCAAATATGCTTGCGGTTTACTCGGAATTGCGCAGTTTTGCCGAAAAGGAACTGAGTTTTTGCCACAAATTATGATTTTACAATCGCCATATCTTTTCAACCTGATGGTGTAAACCTTTGATATTTCAAACTATCATTATTTGATCTAAAATGATTCATAGTTTGAAATATCTAAGGTCTCTGACAATAAAATGCAAAGATATAGGGATAAGAAAATCAGAGTTTGTGACAAAAACTCAATTCCTTTGCTTTCGTTGGAATCCCCAACTAGTTTTGAACAACTCGGGCGAGATTCACTGAAGAATTTCTTTAATCAACATTTTAAAATCATGATATATGACTTCAATTTTCTGAGATATTCACTAAACAGTTTCTCTATGATGTAATTTGTGTGTATGATATATATAAATGTATTTTGGAAGACTCCAATAAAGCGTTGGGGGGGGGGGGTGTCATTAAACACGCCAAATAATAACAATTTTTTGTTTAAATGTTATACATTTTTCAATCATAACTCATCTTATTAAGTAGATATTGATAATAATAAAAATATTTAAATCTACAATAAATGAATCTGCTTCTCTTAGTTGTAACTAAGGTCACTAATTCACGCTATTAAATCAGAATTTGACCTATTAAAAATTCGATCTTACACTAAATACGATCTATCTAATTTATTAAAATTCTAAAATTCTTCACTTATATATTATGTCAGCATTCAGTTCCCCGCTGTTTAATTGAGACATTTGATTGGCCTATTAAACATACTTAGTGTCTTAGTGGGATATTTTCCAGCAACGATGATCTTTGTAAAATGTAAAACTCAGCACCGTGAAATCTGATCAAAGCTAAACCATTAAACAGAATTATATATTTCATGATTTCACCCCATTTAGTGGAAACAGAATGTTAAAGAACTGATTTATATATTTTATTTCATCAAACCAAATAATATCACACGTTTTTAAAATTACCCCGCCCCCCTCCCCCTCCAGAGGCGTACACAGGGGGGTTATGGCCCCCACACCCATAGGCCAGTAAAATCTATGGTTTCAAGGAAGTTTTAAGGCCCCAACGGGTGCTTAAATGTTAAGCCTCCCGCCTGGAGAGTCTAAAAAGTTGAAGCCCCTGTGTACGCCCCAGCAACCACTCTGGTTTGGTTTATCTATTTGAATTAAACTGCGTTGAAGTCTCCTGGTTTTGTTTTTTCAACAATCTTAAAACTGAAAGTTTTCTTATTTTACTTTTATTCAAAAAGCATCTGCTGGCAAAAATATGAAAGAAAAATTGCGATTTTTTTTAGTAGGTTAAATTTTGATCAAAAGGTACAGCTTCAACGTGCAATGCAACCCCCCTCTCCGTACGCACTTCAAAAAATCAAATATTAAGCGTTAAAATCTAAGCTTAGGGCATTGCGACACTTCAAAGTCAACCCTGTCTAAAAAATGATGAGACTGTTTATAAGCAGGCTCAATCTATGTGAAGCATTTACATTAATAAGCTATTTCATAAAATAGAAATAAAATTAAATCCAATTTGCAGATTTTTGTTCACGTATCGTTAAATTTCTCCCGAAAGACAATAAAGTTTCATTTTGTACTTTCAATAAATCATAAGTAATTAGTATGTTAAAGTTGAAGGAGGGGGGGGGGGGGGGGGTCCATAGTTGTTAAATTAAATAAATAAACGTATACAAATATTTCAATATATTCTCACGTGATCAAGGTTAAGACGCTAAACTTAATGATTAAAATTTTTTAAAAACCTTGAAACTAAATCAATGATTATACAAAAACGTTAAAACTAAAACTTTAATTTATCTTGGTATATTATAACACTAACACACGATAATCAAGAATTAATTAAAACTTAAATATTTTATAATTTTAAGAACTTTTTTGTTGTACATCTCGATATCAAGCATTGATTCCCATCTTAAGCAGATTTACGAATAAATTAATTTTTACATATTTATGCAAATATAAAAAGCAGAAATTTCTGTTAAAAAGTTATTTTTATGATAAATAATTTAAACGAAAATGAAATAGTTAGACGAGTGAAAGTGAAACTATTGAACCATGGCGATATTATTTGTATATTTAGAAAGATTTATCCTTGCGTATATGTGTATTTGCGTATTTGTGTATACGCGTATTTGCGTATACGCATATTTGCGTATACGCTTATTTGCGTATATGCGTACACGCGTATATGCGTACACGCGTATATGCGTACACGCGTATATGCGTATTTGCGTATATGCGTATTTGCGTATATGAGTATTTGCGTATTTGCGTATATGCTGAAACCCATTGATATTTTTATTTGTATATGATGAATACAAAAAATTGTAGAGGATGAAAATTTCCGAAATAGGGTTAAACAATCCGGATAAATAGGGTTAAACAATCCGGATAAATAGGGTTAAACAATTCGGATAAGACCTAGTCATTAGTCATTACTCATCTTCCTCTTCTTTTATACCCTCGTTATTTATAATTTATTTCTATCTAGAAGCGTCCAATAAATGTTCTTCTAAAATATACTGATTTTTAACACTGGACTCCTTTATTATAGGTGTCTTTGATATGTGAACAAATAGATACGCAAAGATTGAAAAGTTTGAAGTCCTCATAACCAAGGTTTACACATTGGTAAAGGAATCTTGAAGATCAGATTATGGAAGTACACATGGATCCCCCACACAAATGGAATAATGACAGGATTGAATATTAAATATTAAATATTGACAATATATTTTTAATGTTTTAAATAAAATTGTTCAGGGTTTTTCCATTTTTCTTTAAACAGTTAGACTCTTGGATGAATCAGTATGAACTACAAAATAAAACTAACTCTCATCACAAAAAAAGCATATTATATATCTATATATATATAAAGTAGAAATCTCTGGGTGTTTGTTTGTTTCATGAACCCATGGACCGATTTCCTCAAATTTAATTGGGGAACTTGGGAGAACCAAAGGAGGGCTCTTAGAATTAAGTGGGTCGAATTTTAAAGCAAAAATTTAGTTTCCCGGTAAAATTTGTCAAGTGAGGGTAAACGGCGGAATTAATAATGACTACCCCGGGCAAAGCTAGGTTCCCAAGCTAGTATATATATATTGAATATCTATTTAATTCTTCCTCTACTTTCCCTTTAACTAAGGTTATAAAAATGATTTTTTTAACAGTTGATTAATGTATATTGAATAATAAACTAAGACTGATGTGATAACAGCGAAATAATAACAATAATAAAAACAATGTTAAAAGCCCACATAGACTTTAAACCCCTTAATTATATATATACCCGTTTTAGAGGGTAACCCTTAAAAAACTAAATCCAAGCGGCCTCGTTAATTAATCCTTTTTTTACAACCATAATTGTTAATCATAGCAATCCTTTTATGTTGAAATAAACAAAAAACATGTATAATAAAGTCGAAAAATGACATATAATGTCTACAATAAGCATCCGTTTACTTTGGAGCATGTCTTTAGTGTCTTTAAACATTCATATCAACAGTTTTTTTGTTTACAGTTACAGTTCATTTTTTACAATGAAGTCCATTGGTCAAAGTTTTGAACGAAAGCTCGTTGTCCTTTTATGATTGTACAACGTACAGCGGTAGTGTACAGTGTACAACATGGGTTTCCAGTTAAAGCAAGTAGTTCTCCAACATAAAGTCCAGTTACAGTTACATAATACATCTCTTCATAATGTAATAATAATGACTAGATTAAAGTTCGTATATAAGTGTGTGTCAAGGGTATTACCACCCTTGCTACAGGTCATTTTGATAGTACGGTCGCATTTTGATGTGTTTTGTCGCGTCTAGTTATGTAAAAATCAATGGCGTGCTGGCCCAAAAAGGCCTTACAAAAAATGAATGTATGGAATTAAAAACTGATGGTCTAGAAAGCGCTTCGTTTTCTCCTGGTGTCTTCGTACTGGTTCAAGGGGTCGGTGGCAGCTGCGGAGTAGGTGTCCTAAAAAAAATGTTTTAATTTCTATGAATTTTTGAAAATCCATCAGAAATAAAGATAATTATTTCCTAAAATGTGCTATGGTGTTTTAATCAATATTTAGTCGTAATTGACCTTCTGACAAGATAGCAAAGCCCGATTTACAACGGTACCCTTGATCAAAATGTAGAAGATAACGTCGTTTTTCTGATTCAAAAAGTGGTTATTTCTGTGAGTTTCTTCATTATTTCTTGTAAGCAAAAAATGCGCAAGTCACTTTTGCAGAGAAACCACAAAAGAAAATAAACAAAAACACGAATATCTAATTAATACTTCATAAGACAAAGCTTTCAATGAAATCATTTTAGATATGGCATCACTTAAATATACGTTTATATAAATATATAATATTTCAATGAAATCATGTTAGATATGGCATCACTTAAATATACGTTTACCGATCCTGTAATTCGAAAAAACCATGCTCATACAATTATTTTTTATGTGTGGATGTCTCAAAAAAAGTTTTTTTTTTACTGGATTTTTTTTATATTTGAAAAACTTTATGAAGGGATATTTGTGTTTATTACCAACAAATGCGGTATCCTTGTACAATAATAGATATTTTTTATGTCGAATGTTTTTTTAAAAAAAAGGATTTTTACGATTATTTAAAACTTACATAATATCTAGCAGCGTTATAGCCAGAAGAAGGGGCGTCATAAGAAGCGGCAGGGGCTCCATAGGATTGGGCAGGGGCTCCATAGGAAGGAGAGGGAGCTCCGTAGCTGGCCTCGGGGGCTCCATAACCGGAACCTGATCCATAGGAGCTGGTTTCACCACCTCCGGTTCCCAGGAGACCAAAGGCAAAGACAGCCACTGAAAAATTTTATTCTTACAAAAAGAATATTTTTTTATTCATCTTACAATCATTAGTTTTATGAAAAAGTTCCTACACGTGATATGAAATAAAGGATATAGTTTAAAAACTATGAGGTTGCAAGACTTGCAAGTCATGTCGTTGTCCTACTTTTTAATAGAAAGGAAAATTGTTCAAATACATTTCTCTGTCATTTGGCTCTAGACTAAGTCGACAAATACACGGGGAAAAGCCGCAAGTCATTCTTAACGTTGGGCAATACATACATGTATATAGAGGTCACCAGGCCTTAGAGAAAATATAGAATCTAATTTTCTTATCATTGTTGTCCTAGATTGCCAAAAAAACAGATGTTGCAATCAATTTTGTACACTGATAGATTCTCTTAGAAATAATGATGATAACCCACATAGCTTTAATAAAGGGTTACAAAAAAGACCATATGGATAGCTGACTGAAACACTTTTCGATTCAGTGATTAATGAGACATAAGAAAACAAAGAATTTATATTTAGAGAGGAAAATATCTTTAAAACTAAAAGATATTTAATATTTATATTTATTAAACAAAATTTTGTTCGCTATATCGCATAAAACTTTTATAAAAATTTCAGCGACGTTATAATTCGAATAGTTTAGAGAAATACGCAAGAATATAACCCAAATATCACATTCTTAATACCGAAAGATGACAATAACTAAAATATGATTTGAAGATTTATGAAGGATTAAAAATAAGAAAGATTTTAAAAACATGTAACGACATTTTCCTTATAATCTTAACTTGAAATCAATCAAAATATGAGAGATATATCTCAGAAAATATGAATTATCTAAGTCATGTCAAACTATTGTAAATTGAATGTAAGAATTGAATCTTAAATGTTTTTAAACATATCTCCTCTCATTCAAGACCTATTGAGAACAAATGTATAACCGGAGCTGGGAACTTTTGAATGGTGGATATCAGGATTAATGCTTGATTCACTCTTTTCTTAATCTCCAGATTAAATTATGCTTGTTCTCCTCTTGTTATTAATCTCGATCAGTTGATAAATCTGGAGATTAATAACAAGAGGAGAACAAGCATTTTTTAATCTCGAGATTAAGAAAAAGAGTGAATCAAGCATTAATCCTGATATACACCATTCAAAAGTTCCCAGCTCAACTCGGATAATATTAGCTGTTATCATGCTTGTGCTTAAAACCAAAACTAGAGGTCACAAAGTGGTACTTACAGAAAGATAGGATCCCAAGAAGAATAGCTTGAGGTACAAGATTGATGGTGTATCCTGGACCTGTGAAGATCAACTTCCCCGTACCCTGTTCATCTGAAAGATTGGTCTCCTCAACCTAACAAAAAATAAATTAGTATATTATCAGATTACTAGCTTGGGAATCATAGTTAGTCCCACCGTTTACCCGCTCTTTGACATTAATTACGATTTAAGCTAATTTTTCCCGATAAAGTGAACCCACTCAGCTAGAATCTAAAAACCAAACTTAAAACATTTCAGTGGGTCTCCCAAATTCGTTAATCAAAATTTAAGGCAAAAAAAAATTAAAAATATAAATTGTATTCAATTTTTAAAGATTTAAGCCGGCGCTCAATTAAAACCGGTTTTTGTCAGATTTAGGCCGCGGCTCAAATTCATTAAATTCGGACAATGTTCAAACAAACAAACAAACCGAGATTACAATTATATATATATATATATAAAGAATATTATTATTTTAGTAAATTTTCAAAAAGAGTTTGCAAGGAAACAAACATACAAATATTAATAATTAAACGAGTAGAAAGCCAGTTTATTTTGCGTCTTTAAAACGCTTCACGCATTTAACTTGCGTTTGGTAATTTTCCTAAAAAATGACAAATCTAAAAAAGTATTGAACACCAGAAATATCGTATTTTTTGGATTAACAGAAGTTGAAGGCAGTTAGGTGGTCTACAGTAGATATGATTAATGATTTTTTAATCATTGCGGAATCTATTTTTAGAAAATATTGCCGATTAAACTCTAATTATCTATTGTTATAATTCGATCATTCTTGAATCATAAAATACTAATAAAATCTAGACATTTGTTGATTTATGGATTAGAAAATGTAGAATTATTTTTCAAGCACATATTGAATTAGCGTCTAAAGGTTATAAATATATTTTATGGAAAAAGAGCATTTTATAATAAATAAATGTAAAAAGGAATTCGTGGATTTTAAAATATAAATATACATTTATTAAGACATACGCTGATTTTAAATTATAAAAGCATTTAAATAGAGTCCCATGGATTTTATTATATAATTAAGTTAAATAAGATATACGTGGATTTAAAATTTTAGAATATAAATAAGTTTAATAAGAGTCACGTTTACGGAAATAATTTGTCGTGTTATAGAGTAGACATGAGAGAGACGAACGCACGAAAAGAAAGTATCGTATTTTAGTAGTTACTAAAAAATACGTTCACATTTCAATATAAATAAATAACTAGCAAAATTTCTACTTTAAAATCCTCCCATTTTCCCCGCCCCTTCCCTTTTCCCTTCCTTCTCTCTTCTCCCTCACCCCCTCCCCCTCTCCCGCCCCCCCCCTAGCTCAATTAGACTAAATGAAGACATGTAACGCCAAGCGTGAAATTGTAAGTTTACAAATAAACCTAAACGCAACCTTGCGTACTTAGAGAACGCATTTGCTGACCACACTTGAAATATGTTTGTGTGGGAACGGAAGGGCGCAAGGCCTAGCTTAAGAGTATTTTCATGACAGACTGATACAAGGACTTAAATAATTTCAATAGCTTCATAATCCAGGGTTTAAGGCGTGAAGTCATCAGGATACACTATTTTCAATATTAAATTTTAAGAGGGGGGTAAGATAAAATAGATTATTTGTTTGTTTACGTATATTTTTGACTTTTGAAATTCTTTGAAAGTAAAAACTAAGTGAAAAATCACTTAGTATAAGATTTCAATCTTACAAACAAATTGCTTTAGTTTTTTCAATATTAAATTAAAGGTGAGGTAAGATATCATAAATTATTTGTTTGTTTACGTATATTTTTGCTTTTGAAATTCTTTGAAAGTAAAAACTAAGTGAAAAATCACTTAGTATGAACGTAATGATATTTGTAAAAATGTTTTTTTTGACTCAAAAGTTCATTTTAATTTTGTTTAAATTTGCACATCGAGAGTTTCATCACAGGGATAGATGGAAGTTAAAAACTTACTCCAAAAATACAAAATGAAAAAAAAATTAAAAATAAATGAACATACTGTAACAAAACAACAGAGGACAAAGGGGTATTATTGTTTAAATAATACATATATGAAAAAACAAGCTTGGTGATATAATTTTAAATATTTATATTTACTTTGTTTTCATGTCTAGAACCCAAAGTATCTTCTGCAACAGCATATCCGACATACAGGACTAGAACAACGATTGCGGCATTTCTCCAAACCATCTTTTCTGAAAACTGAAGAATAAAAAATATTAAGAGAAATGTACAAATCAAAAGTCAAGACTGGAAAAGTTAAAGAAACCCCGGTCAAAAAATATGATCTATCACCTAAGAACTATATTTAGAATCTAAGCAATTAAAAGAATTACTTTAGTATTGCTCCGGAGATTTGAGGACAACTAAAATTCTCCGGTACTTTCGTCTTCGAGGAAAGCGCGCGCGTGTTGCAAAGCGCTACGGGGCCGGAGCGCGCATCCTTGCAGCTTCTCCTCTCAACTATTCCAACTATTTACATTATGTAAATATTGACTCGTCTTCAAGTCTTCAATGACTTTATCAAATAATGAATGACCTAAAAATCCCCCTGTCTTCCAATAAAAGCTTTTTACTACACTGAATCATCAGTAGAATGTGTACATTTTTTCAAAATTTTTTTGTATTCTTAAATCATAAATTTGGGCCCTTTTAGGTAGGATTCACAACGGTAACTAAATGTTTGATTAAGAAGGAATGCAATATTCACAATTTTTCTATATATAGCTAGTTATTTTCAATTGTAGTCTTTCTTGATTGACTTATTAGCCTGGAAATAATTAACTCGTTAAAAAGAGAAATCATGGATATCTCAGTCACTCTTGATCAGACAAAGGTTTCAAGGGAATCGTTATGAAATTCAGGGATATCAATCTATAAATAGTGTACAGTCCCTTTAAATAGTATAAAGGCTTTATTATTACATAGTATTAGCATTTGTATGGAACCCTCTGGGTTCTATTAAGTGTTGAATTATATAATTAATTAAATCAGATTTCAATAGAAGCATTAAAATTTATTTATCCAAATAAAAGTTAATTTAAACACAAATATTTTTAGAATTCACGGATTTTTAATTTAAAACCCAATCCCAAAGACAACATCAGAACAAAGTTAAAACCTCCCCCTTCAAAGGGTCCTGAATTTTGAATCTCGGTATCAAGAATTGATGTCCTATACTGTCCTAAGGGTAAGGATTTTTAATCCCTATATCTTTGCAACTATGTCGTAAACCTGAGATATTTTAAACTGTGAATTTTCGAATTTTAAATTATCAACGGTTTACATTATCATGTTGCAAAGATGTCAAAATTGGAAAAGCTGAGTTTGTAGCAAAGACTCAATTAATTTTTTCTGATAAATACCTGCAGGATAACTTTAATCGAGGAATCAATCAATTATCTTCAAAGGAAATGAGTCTTTGCCACAAACTCTGATGTTGTAGTCCCTGTAGTCGTAGACCTGAAATATTTCAAACTATGAATCATGTTAGATCAAAAAATCTTAGTTTGAAATATAAAAGGTTTGCACCAACAGGTTACAAAGATATAGGGATTCGAAAATTTAAGTATGTGGCAATAACTCAATTCCTTTAAACGTTGGATATCGAGATCAAGGGTTCAAGATTAACGATACTCCACCCAAAAGTTCCTGCCTCTGACCAATTCAAGGTTTTTTCTTGAAAAACTCTTATCATGGCATGCAGGTGATACTTGCTGATAATTCAATATTTACATTTTACAATTTCTTAAATTACGTATTTTAGTTTAACATCTAGGCATGAATATTAAGTATTAAGCAACATTCAATTTAAAAAAGAAAAAAGTAAATAAGATGCACAATGGTATACCCTTGAAACCTTTAACAGATCATTAATATAATAAAGTCTAGTAAGGTGTTTAATTCCTCCACAATTTCTGAAGCAAAAATGCGTTAATCATTTTTACGGAGAAAGAAACCAAAGAAGATGATAGACATAATACATTTTAAGAAAACAACGGGATTTTCCCTTTGGAATGTCAAAGTACACTCAATCACTTCAAACCTAATGTATTTTTTTTAAATACTACAAAATATAGTAAACAAACTAAAAAAGAAATACTTTTCAGAGAACATACAGCTTTCTCTTTATCTGAATGTACGCGCTCTAATAATAACTGCCGGAAGACTCAAATGCTGCGGCATGGAAGACTGTACGGTTGTGGCTCATGGCGACCGGTAGACAAAAAGCTAATATGTGGCATGGAAGGGGAAAATATTGTGACTTATGGCTGCCTGCCTTTCCCCGGTCCTCTAGCATTTGACACTTCACGATTTTGTACACTAAACACGAAACACTAAACACTAAAATCACTGCAAAAACTATACAGAAGGTGAAGATCAAAGGAATTGAGTCTTTGCCAGTTCTAATTCCATTATCTTTGCACCACAACGTCGTAGACCTTAGCTATTTCAAACTATGAATCCTAAAAGTCTAACTTTTAAATTTAAAAGGTTTACACTATCAGGTTGCAAAGATTAGTGAATAAAAAATTTGAGTTTGTCGCAAAGACTCAATTCCTTTATGCTACATTGCTGCTACGGCTTTGTGACCTTGTAGCTTCTCTAGTTTATCTGGTAGCATATCATAAATTAAAATTTGTTTGTTATTCTCTTCAATAAGAGAAGTCATGATTAAAATCATTTAAGATTTCAATCTTACAAACAAATTGCTTTAGTTTAACGGGAAATATACAACAACATATTTTCGTAAAACACTACAAAATGGAGTAAACAAAACATAAAAATACTTCTCTTAGAAAACCTACAGGTTTCTCTTAATCCTAAAGTACACGCCTTCGCTCGTGACACTTGACAATTTTGTCCACTACACTACTCACACAACATTGGAATATACAGGGTGTCCCAATAAACATGGGAATTCAGTGACCAACACACTCCTGTATGTCCAGTTCATTAGCCCCATGATCCAATCAGGGTTCAGTCATGTGTTTGTTGCCTATTCTGAACCAATAGAAATAGTGAGGCGGTAACATCTATATAATCGAGTTACGTCTGCTAGATTTTATTTTATGTAAACGTTAAAATTGGCTGCATATGTCCCCAGGGAAGGTATAAAATAGATAATCAAAAATTCAAAAATTTGCATCCAACAAAATTCGATTTTCTTTAAATGTTGAAAATCCAAGATTTTTTTAAAAAATCCGCAACTTTTTTCGTTATTTTTTACAATATATGCTGAGAGAAAATGTTCACAATTGAAATAGAAGATTGGTGCGAAGCGCTCTAAAAGCCTAGTTGAAGTATATTTAGGTTTGTTTGTCAAGTTTAGACCAGCCATACACCTCTTGGGGTCATGTTGCTGCCAGTTGAGAATAACAAGCCAAATATAAATATTTTATAAATGAAAAGCGTAGACATATTTTTTTTACTATAATTTTTTGTTTGTCTCTCAAAGCGTGGTCTTAATTTTTCAAAACTTTTCTTTGTGCGGCAATTTTGCGACAAGCCAAATTTTTTGTTTTATAATTTGTCTCATTACTGTTTAGATGTACGGCATTAAACTCACTGTTGTGGAACTATTTAACCGTCAAATAATTTCTAGGTGAAAACAATAATATCAGATCAACTGAAATTACATCATTTAGATCATTGAAATTTATCTTTCAAAATATCAGTTTTTAAAAATTCAAAAATATATATTTTTAATTGTAACATTTATGCTAGTTTTTTTTTATGATTTTCTGAGGAATAAGTGCCCTGTATTTTCATGATTTAAGGAGGAAAAAGTGCCCTGTATTTTCATGATTTAAGGAGGAATAAGTGCCCTGTATTTCCATGATTTAAGGAGAAAAAAGTGACCTGTATTTTTACAAATTACCTGTCCTTCATATTCATGTTTCAGTTCGGTTTCAGCTTTATTAGAAATTAGTTTGAAGTCAGCCAACTGTGCATCACGCAGATTTAAACATAATGATTTTAAAAATTGTATTGTGTTAAAGTTTTTCTTTTTTGGTTTATTTTGTATTTTTTACCTGTCAGGGTCAAATAAAAGTAAACGTTTAAAATAAATTATTTTTAATACATGTTTTAAACAATATTTTGCCCATGAAAGACAATATAGGTAAAAAAAACAAAAGAAATTAATAAGTTTAGACAATTTCTTTGGAATTTACTTTACAGAGTCAATTTGAGATTTTAATAATTTTTATGTTTCAATTTTTAAATCAAACATTGTGTTCGTTGTAAACATTTTATTTCATATTAAAACAAAACATGATAGTAATTAGTATGTTTAGACAAGTTCATGTGTGATCAAAAGATTGCAAGCTCAACAAGCAAAAAAGTTTTGCTACTAAAATGTTAGTGATCTAAAATCAAAAGCCAAGGGGATGCGACACTTAAAATTTAAATCTTGAAAATTGCTGCAATTTTTAAAAGCTGTCTGGATATATATGTGATTCAAAGATCTGAACGTCTGTGAGGAGGATATTATAATTGTTAATAATATATTAATATTAACTTTATTATTATTAGGGTAATATAGACACAGAGTAAAAGAATAGGAATCAGCTTATCATCCGTAGATCCCGAGATACAGGGGTCTGTAAGCGTAATTTCAAGTGACCCTCCATGCAAAGATGGCAATGTTAGATTTACATCGGTACCCTGAACACCCTTAAAAAAGATACTGTTGTTTTTCCTATCTTGAAAATTGTTTAATTCTGTTAATTCCTCGATTGCTTCGTAAAAGCAAGAAATGCGCAAGTCACTTTTTCAAAGATAGACCGATAATGAAAATAAACAGGGTAAAGCAGCAAAAAAATAAATATCTGATTCATACTTAATCAGACATAACTACTAAGGGTAACGTTGTGAATCGGGCATTGCCATTTTTGCATGGAGGGTCACTTGAAATTATGCTTACAGTCCCTTTAATAACAGAAAAGGTTTGACTTCTGATCTAAAGTTTGTCGAGTGTGGAGTGTAAAGCCATCCATCCGTTCAGTTATAATTATAGATTTATTATTTCATAATTTCAAAACAGTTTTTAATTTTTAATCAAGAAAAATTAATTCTGTTAATTCCTCGATTGCTTCGTAAAAGCAAGAAATGCGCAAGTCACTTTTTCAAAGATAGACCAATAATGAAAATAAACAGGTTAAAGTAGCAACAAAAAAAAATACCTGATTCATACTTAATC